AGGTCACCGCCAATGACCAAAAAAAGGAAGAATAATATTAACAATTTTTAAGAAAGGCATAATTAAATTAAGTGAAGTTAGAATATTCCTTAAAACGAGTAAATTTAATAAATTCTGAGTAGTCCGATGTAAAGGTAATTCAAATAAAGCGTCCGGATATTCCGTTAACAATAAACATTTTAACAAACGAAATTTCTTAATCCATAGTAGTGCGCGACAAAAGAATAAGATCGGTTATCAACATCATCAACCCATAATACATCCCACTACTGGCCATGGGTCTCCTCTGAGGAGACAGTTTACGCCACCACACTGGTCCAATGCGGGTTGGTGTCCCATGTTTTTGATAGGCTGTGAAACTTCATCATGACGTTTTCACCTCACCGTTAGAGAAAAGTATTTCTAATAAACATTTGCAAATACATGCTGCCACAGGGATTCGAGCAGTCAACTAGTCAATTGAGAAGCAATCGTCCTCTCACGGGGCTACCACCGCTTCCATAAAATCGGTAAGCTCTATATTTCCGGCTTTATCCGGAGACGGAAATTAAGGGCTTTGTCTCTGCGAACCTGTCATTACTTTCTACTCACTGTTATTGCGGGAAAAAATTTCTATCATGCTGAAGAAAACATTTTTGACCCACTTTATAAAAGGAGGAGGTTCTCAATTCGACTCAATTTTTTTTAATATATAGCGCACACAGCCTGTGTCGCGGGTGCCATGGACAAACAAATTACACCCAAACTCACGAGAATAACAAATGTAGACCATGCAAATATTTCGCCCAGCTCGGGAATCGAACCCGGGAGCTCTGCGTGACAATCCAGTGTTGACCGTTCGGCCACGGAAGCAGTTTTTGTATGTATGTTACGCGATTACGGCATTTGTGAACCGATTTTGATGATTCTTTTTATATTGGAGAGAGGATACCTGAATATAGGTCTCATTTTAATTTGAAGAAAATATTCCACCTCTAAGAGTGGCAAACTATCGCGTGTCATCGGACCTACTTACTATGAGCGTTTACCCGCTACTCTCAGACTTGAACCGTCTGACTAAACATTTAGGCGCCGGCTGAAAGACTTTTTCTTGAAAAATCCTATATACTCTGTAAAAGAATTTATGGACTTTAAATTGTATGGAATTCAGTATTTTCTATTTTTATATTTTTATTCTAATTTTTACCGCATTAACATGCTCTTGTATAATTATCAACTTATGACGATCCTTGATGGAGAATGATATTTGATATGTAATTTAATGACAACAATATTATATAATGAATTGTTAATTTTCTAATTATTGTGTGCTTTTCTTATAATTTTCCTTTTTGTCTGACGATCTCAATATAATTTCTTATACTTTGACATGTAGTGCAATTTATACTGTAATGTTATATTTGAGAAATAAATGAATCTGAATCTGAATCTGAACTAGGGGATGAATCCGATATCGCGCACTTTCCTTTAACCGATTCCAATAAAACTTGTCAAATAGATGAAATCCCAATGAAAAAGCCGATAAGTTAATTTTTGAGATAGGTTTTTATAAATAAAGAAGTTATAATTATACTTACAACGATAGAAAGGAGTAACATTACAAATACAGTATTACTATTTGCTTAATAACTCTCGGTAATCTTCGTCTTTTAGCTATCGTCGGATTTTTATCATTTGCCCTTTGTACTTGGTGCCGATCGGACGCATTTAATAGACTTGGAAGTGGTTTCCACTCTTTATTTTGATATTTTACAATGTCAAATAATATAATATCCCAGACTCCATCAGAAGGCCTCCTAGTTTATCCTCTATCAAAAAGAAAATCCATGAGCATCTTTTAAATTGTTTGGCACAGAGATAATCATCGTCATCGTCTGTTATTGCATGTATCATAAATAAATGTATGTATACAGATAATATTATCCTTACCTTAGATAATATTACCTAACACATACATATGTATGTGTGAGGTTTGTTTGTTATATATCTGATTATATATTTATTACATTTGTGTTATTATTAAATTATTAATTTAATATTTTGTTTAATTTGCCGCATTCGTGAATTTCGTTTTCCTCAAATGTTGACTGGTAGAGAATGCTTTTAGCGTTAATTCCGCTTTTTGTACCATTTTGTGTTGTGGTCAATAAAGTTTAATAAATAAATAATATTCTAAACAACCATGCCAATTACCTGGTCTCAAACTAGGGAATACCCTGCATTAAGAGTACCAGAGTAACGGAATTCACTCTGAGGCAAGTGCCTCAGAGTCCTTCTGTTCTGTGTGTGTTCTGGTAAGTCCCAGAACACCCAGAACAGAACCAATTTAGAAAAATCAATTTCGCAAATCCCTCCACATTCAAAGCCCCATAGTGCGAACCGGTGGGCCACGTAGGTCATCAAACACGAGTATATTGAAAATTAGTTGTACTAACTCTGGATTTAATGGAATAAATTGGGTCCCAGCGACAGGGCAGAGTTCCTCCTTTGTTTGGCTTTACTAATAATAGTGGGCAAGGTAACTGACAATGCTTGGATCGCAGTCGGTAGATTAATTTGATCATATTTGCATACGACCTTACGAGTTAAACCATTTTTATTCGATTGTAGGGACCACAAAGTCACAGAGATAGGGTAATTGTTCAAAATTACGGAATAACACATCTTATTATTATTATTTTATCTCAAATTATATCTTTATAGCTTAAAAAATAGAGTTTCATAAAAGGTACCCCAAATCAAATCCAAACCAAAATTAAAAATCCAATAAGGTATACTCCCTGCAACCATTTATTTAACTTTTGATATATGCATGCATGCATACAACCATAGACAAAAAAATGCAATACTTCCTGGACTCTTTTATTTTTTAATTCTAATGAAGCGACGTATTCTTTAACTCCGATATTTATTGAGCCTACAGATTATTTAGCGAAGATTATTCAATTTCATAAACACCGAGTATATAACCAGAAATAGAGACGAAATGTCATTTAATTTGTTTGAAAACTATTCTGCCATATCATTACTGTGACAACTGCGCTCCGATTGGCTAGCCCGAGTTCGAAACAACTGACGGGTGTCGTCAACTGTTTCACTTCAAATCGTCCAGTTAACTTGAACTTTGCTATAGTGGACGAAAATTGCAAAATTACAAATTTAATATTTCATTACCGATGAAATGTGATTCCGTTTGTTTTGTAATTAGATGTTTTGCTGTCTTTCCCACACCACTGAAGACACCGAGAACAGCACGGCATCGTTAGAGATCTTTATTACAATAAATACAGAATATTTTTTGGAATATACGGAGACGTACACACAGGTCAGTAGTTGGCCTGTCTATATTTCAGTGCTAACGAGAGTTGTTATTTATATGAGCTGTATCGCTAATGTGTTACCAGGAATATATAGCCCTTATTTCGTCTCTATTTCTGGTTATATACTCGATGTTCATAAATTTTATTACCTGTCTATAATGAAATGAAATAAATTATAAATAATTATAATAAATTCTTATTATTTTTTATAACGTGTCCTCGGATTATTTTTCATATGAATGGGAATCATCACTTGAATCCTCATTAACACTAATTATTAATTCTTGAGAGCACAAATTGTCAAACGCAACATCACGATCCCAATCAGACAATATCTTCTTTTTTGAACCCGTTCACGTTCACGATCAAAACTCTTCATAAATAAAATCAATTGTTATAAAAAATCAAATCGGAAAGGTATTAGGACATCACTAATTGATTAGAATTCGTCATTCGTCAAAAGTTAAATAAATGGTGGACGGAATATAGTAAGCAAATTACATTTGAAATAGTCACATTCGTAAAACAAATTGGATTAATAGAATGGAGTTAGAAACTCTAAGGGTTGCTCTTTTTAAACAGAAATTGGTGCACATTTATCACTTTAAATATTTATTTATTATTTAAATGTTATAGCTATAAACAACCGGAGAGAGCTAAACGGGTCACTATCGTGGATTTTTGTCATCACGTGCGCAGAAGCTGTAAATAACCTTTAGTATAAAGTAGTTGTTTCATTAAAGCTTAAATGAGTGTCTTGATACAAACTGGATAACAGGTTAACCATTCGCAATATTGAATAGTCACAATACCCTATAAATACAACTACCCCTTTCGACCTTCGTAATTACAGGTATTCTGCTGAAAGTTCATATTTGTAAGCAAACTTTTGAATTATGATATAAATCATCACCTGTTCCTGTGAATTTAAAAAGGGACATATGTATGTATAATATACGCATATTATAGAAAACTACGCAACTACAAGAAAAATCGCCTTTGACAAAGACATAAGTAACCGAACCTTCCCAGAAAACAAGCTTCACACGTTTCGTCTTTCATATACAGTGATGGAATGCCAAAATCATGTTATTATTACGAAATCGTGGCTTTCCTAGATCCTCTCTAAAATGTTCTGGGTTCTCATAAAACAATCTCCTAGAAAGGAAATTTTACGGACCGACAAGTTTTCTAGTTATTATGAGAAAAGACTTGACACCTAAATGGAAGTATAATAGCGAGATTGTATTTTTATGTACGTTACTAAAATGATTGAGCCCATACTTAAATTTAAACAGTTTGCTGGTACTTATAGAAGATATTTTGTTAAAAAAAATTTTAAACACTCGATTCATTCATTCTCATTTTAAGTTGTCTATGTTTAAGAAACCGAAATAGAAACTTATATAGATTTTATACTAACGAGCTTTTGAGAGCTCAATACTTGATTCACATGACTTCTGGAGCCCAAACAATTTTATTTTAGTAAACTGTAGGTACTGAAATAAAAAAAGTAGAAAAGCGAGTGAATGAATTAATTGCCTTGCAGTACACGGGAATTGAAGTATGGACTTGTACTAAGCCGAGATACTCAAAAACTTTTACCAGATGGGAAAGAAGCTCTCGGCCGTAACATATTTTATAGGCTATAACTGAAGAACAAGTTTCTAGACAACTGACCTCATCGTAAATGAAGTTGTCGATCTCCTCGAGAGGGCGGCCGTAGAGGTTGGGGGGGAAGGGCTCGTACTTGCGGGGCAGCCGTGCGCCATCCTCGACGCTAAGGCGGCGGCGCGGCATAAAACCGAACTCCCGCACGAGCTGCGCGCCGCGCGACCCGGCGCGCTTGGCCGACTCGCGCGTGAACGGCGTCACCGCCGCGCGCGGCTCCTCGCCCCTTCCCCCGCCGCCGCCTCCGCACGTCTCGCTCGAGAACGTGACACCCTCCAGCGGGATCCGCAGCTCGTCCCGCCGCGGCTTTTCCCCGCACTGGACGTCCACGTCCAGCGCATCCCTCGACTGCGACGCCACCAGGGGCGCCGCCGCTTCCGGGTTGGTTGCTTCGAGGGTGCGAACGATTTCGCCCAGTAAACGGGAGCCGTCGATCTCCTCCCCGGGCGAGTTGAGCGGCGCCGGCGGCGGGAACGAGAATCGCCGCTCGTCCTCCTCCATGCCGACAAGGCCGGGGGCTACGTGCGCCCGCGCCGGCCCATCGTCACGCGGCACACACAATCACACACACTGTTCACACGGTGACGCCATTCCCGATTGTCACTGCCACCTGAAACAATAAAATATTCCGTTACTCCTACTGCTCTCGCAAACACTCCGCAGTAAACGTTGCGAGTTACAAGGAAATACGATTGTAGATTGTCAGTACTATTGAAATAGTGAAGTACACTTTAAGATTACGACCAAACATTGTGCTCACGCCAAATAGGTTTGAATTTAAAGCGTTTCAACCAAATAGAAATTGCTTTCCTGTAGTCTAGTTTCGATTCTATCGCGTGTTTACTCGTTACGTATGTAACGCTTAAAAACTGTAGTTTTCTGACGTTTGATATAGTTGATTGCTAGAGTTATTCCATGGTGGTGAATAGTGTAATCCGTCCGAGAATATTAATAATAATATTTATATGAAAAATGTGGATTATACTATATACCTAAAACCCGACTCGGCAGAGCAGCATTCGGGAAGTTACGCCATATGTTCTAGACCAAAATACCACAGTATCTCAAGACAATGTGTGTTCCCAGAGATGACTTACGGCACTGAGACGTGGTCGCTTACTATGGGCCTCATAATAAGGCTCAAGGTCATATAAAAGGCAAAGGAAAGGGCTATGCTCAGAGTTTCACTGCGAGATCGAATCAATAATAAGGATATTCGCAAGGGAACCAGAGTAATCGACATAGCCCAAAGAATTGAAAAAATTAAGCGTTAGTGGGCAGGGCACATTGCTGGCAAATCAGATGGCCGATGGGGCCGAAGAGTTCTCCAGTGGCGACTGCGTACAAACCACCCACAAGGTGGACTGATGGCCTAGAAGGTTGAGGGAATCCGCTGGATGCAAGCGGGAGGCTATGTAGAGCAGCAGTGGACGTCTTTCGGCTGAAATAACTATGATGATATACCTAAAGAAATCTTTTGACAGCAAATTCATAAGCCTGTAACAATACACACATCATTAGGTCCGTACTAACTGATATACAGCTTTCCTACACAAACATCGGTGTACTGTTTATGCATTTGTATGTTTGGACTACGAGGCACACATGGCGCAGTAAAAGTCACGTTAAAAAACGCTCTGACTTTATTTACGAATGCAAGCAGATTCATTGCCACTGTAAGCAAACCGACTCCCGTAGAACATAAACTTTGTGTGGCATTGAATGAAGAAACACTCTTGAATCAAAAGTAAGAATAGTGAATAGTTGAATACGGTATGTACTTAGAGAATACGTAGAGGAATCTGGCCATTTCATTATTATCAATAGTGAGAAGTCATTATGTTAATCAGATTTTTCGAAAGTACATTTAATTGGCGTGAATTCCAAAAAGTTTGATGTTCTCAAATTCATTGGGTTGCAAATAATTGCAAGTAGATCCTTGTATACATATAAATAACGCACACACTCAACATAGCCCCGCACTAGGGAAACCCTGTGTCGCGGGTACCATGGACACACGCATAGACAACCACAAATTACACCCTAACTCACGAGAGAAATAATTGTAGGCTATACAACTATTTCTCTCGGCCCGGGAATCGAACCTGGGACCTCTGCGTGGCGGTCCGGCATGGTAACCGTTCGGCCACGGAGGCAGTTAATCTATATATATATATATATAGTTATATCTCTGCTTTTCAAGAATAGCGACCCAATCTAACATTGATCCTTGACAAAAACTTATGACTTATTACTGAAATTAACTCAGAAAATGCAAAATTTTATTATGAATGGAGCTCCAAGCTTTTCCGTGGTTAGAATAATCACATGACAACATTAAGATGGTCCGCGATTTGTCAATTTTGCGCGGCAGACATGTTTCAGGTTCTTTCAAAACTTTAAAATTAAATGCTTTTAAGATAGGCCTCTGTTCTAGAAAGCCATCCATACCTTAAATTATTTTTTAAATATACTCCTGTATACATAAAAACAAAAATTGTCGAAAATATCGAAGAAAAACTTTTCCCACGTTTTACAAATTAAAATGTTCAGCAAGAACTTATGGAAATGACGTTCAGTTCACCCGTTTCAAAATTGCATACTACGAGTAGTTTTTATTAAACATTTTTATCTTAGGGCATTTAATTAAATTTTGATAACCTCCGTGATCGAGTGGCTTGCACATCGGTTTTCATGGTGTCGCCATCTCCGAGGTCCCAGATTCGATCCCGGTCGGGTCAAAGTAACTTTTGGATACTTTTTCGGCTCTGGGTATTTGTGGTACAGTTCATTGTTTCTGGTTTGCATAACACAAGTAACTTGCCCAACGCATTAGCATAGCCATACAAAGGAGGAACGCTGCCAGTATCTTGGGCACCTTGCCGCGGGGACCCAATTTTATTCATATAATTTAATCCTTGTTTAAGTTTCTAGTATTTAACTTTTTATTGTACCATACCGATATATTTTAACTTAATGCTTTAGTTACTTACTTTGGGATTAGAGCAACTTAATTATGTTCTTTAATATTTATTTATTTATTATTTATATACCGAAAATGCAAGGTGGCTCACATTATGTGTTCAGTAGTCTAATAAGTAGGTCAGTTTACTATCATTCTCATTAACACGTTATTGCTGTAAATTTTTCGCAATCTGCTGTCTATAGGTAGAATACAAAATACGTAACAAGATTTTTATAGTAGCGTCCCATTCTTTCCCCACGTCAAGGGATTTGCTGCGTCACAGAGAGATCCCCGTTATTTACTCACTATTCAGTGAAATTCCAAACATGTCAGAGTGTATTTACGACTCTTCATCAATGTGTACCGAGGTTACACTGGAGGTAGTATATCATTTTGTTCGCGTTACAAGGTAAATGATAAAGCAGTATGTGGAAAGGATTCTTGTCAGCGGATCGGTAGCTTGCGCACTTTATATGCTATGAAAATTGGTTCGGCAAGTCAATTTGTTAAGTCAATGTATTATTCTATTCTCAGCATCCTGTTTTTTTATAGTATTTTTGTTTAAATATTTTTTTCACTTCTCATGCTCTAAGTACGTCAATGTAGACTTACTTAAAGTGGTTACACATGGCGACTTTTTATATTTACTTGCGGTTTATAGGCAACTGTATCGATGCAAATGAGCTATTGCATCAATACAAACGCGCGAGTGCATCTATGCAATCGCCTATAAATGCCAAGTGCAGCGATGCAATCGCGCGTTTGTGCCGATGCAGATGCGCGCTTGCATCGGGTTTGCATCGCTCCTTAAAATCGCGCGTGAGTGTAAAGGTAGACAAAGAGAAAGCCGCCGTGTGTAAGCTTTCTTAGCGGAAGCAAAGTGCATCCATTAGGCTGCCTTTCCACCAGAGATGTGCGAGGTAGCGAGGCGGTGCGAAGATGTACAGCGGCGCTGTGAAACGGTGTGATATTTTCCACCAAAGCTGTGCGAGGTAGCGTTGCGAACTCTTTTTAGCTATGCGCGGGCGGGGTGCGGTGTGGTGGAGTGAGTGGTGGCTATATCTCAGTGTCAGCTAGTGTAATACTTTCAGTAGCTCTAGTTTCCTACACCGTTTTGCACACATTCCTCGCCCGCATCCCTCGCACACATTCCTCGCACACATCTCTCGCACACATTTGTCTCTATTTTGTATGTACAAATACTTAGCTCCGCTAATCCTTTTCCACCGAAGCTGCGCTAAGCGAGGCTTCGAAAATGAAGTAATCCTATTGGTGGATTTTTTCCTCGCACGCTGCTTCAGTACGCCGCACATCTCTGGCGGAAATGCAAGCCTTAATCGTTAGGGAGTAAAAAGTACGTAATTTTTAAATTTACTTCGAGTGAACATAGTCAAACAGCCACGCTCGGTTTTAGTTCCATGAGTTTTCCGCATAGATGGTGGCGCCATATTATTTTCCCGCGTTAGTGCGTTTGTTGTATCAGTGTCTGGTTAAAAAAAATACTGCGAAAACTTCAGAATTTCGGTTCGTAATTTTATTGTCTACAATAAAATTAAGTAAAGTTTTCACCTTGAGACTAAAAACCGATATAAACCCTCGGAATAATAGACACCCTCGATAAAGCTAGCGTGTCTTACCAGCTCGGGCATATATTGGCTCGCTTTAGTCCTTCGATAAAAAATATACTAATGTGGGTTTGTGTACTTAGTAGAAAACAAGTACAATATGAAAAGCTTTCATAAAAATCATGTCCTTACAAATAATGCTTATAGATGTTTGACGCATCCTGGGCAACAATCGGTGAACCACGATGACGAGCATCATAATGTGGCACACATTCGATACGATAAGAAGATGCTTATCTAATCACAATAGTCTACTTTAACTTTTTGAGATAAATATCGAGAGAATTGCAGGAACATGGTCATGAACTATTTAAAAAATTCGATAAGAGCATGTTTTCAAATTCTGTAAAAGGGCCAAGTTTAGAGGTTGAATCGGTTTCGAAGATAAATATATTATAAAATAGAACGGCGTCCACTTGGAAATAAGTTATTGAAAACTTGCCTATGCGCATATAATACATGGCAATTAACGGTTTTAATGGTTTAAGTGTAAATCTACACTATTGTCTCAGTTTTGTGATAAGCGACACGTCTTTCTATAACAGTTGCAGTGCAATTCAGAGCTTTAGATCATAAAGATCTGATGCTCACATTTCTGCTTGGCGGCAGAAATAGGTAAGGTTACTTCCCTGGACGAACTCCTTCACAAGGAGCGCTACTGCTATTATATGCGTAAAATATATTTTTAAAATGTTTCAAAGGAAAAGTTAGTCCTTCAAATTCCATTATTGTTTGCTCACAATTAGCTGTT